AGAGATTAATTACTGAAAATAACAGATAAAATATAAAGTTTTTTCTTGAGAAATGTTTGATAACTATCCGGACATTATGAAGATTTTGCATGTGAAATTTCAAAATTTTCTCATGCATGAAAGTATTTTTAATCTTAAAATGAAAATTACTTTGCATGATAGATAGGCAAGATGTGAAAAGAAAAAAAAAGCATGAGAGAAACATTGTTTTACAAACCTTAAGACTTAATAAAAAATTTTGATATGTTGCATATGAAAGCATTGTGATGTTTACTGATAAACTGCCAAATTTCTTTAACATTCACTTGCTAATTTAAAAGATATAGCATGAAAATTATAACAAGCACAAAATGGTTACGAGTTCGGTCCCAGGGACCAAGCCCAAGTTGAATAAGTTAAGAAATGTACATATTCTATAATTTATTGTAACTTTCTCAATTTGAATTCACCCTTTAGCTGTGGGTTAACTTTGATCAATTTACTTTATTTTAGATACCTTATCTTCAAGTTTAACTATAACATTATATTTACATATTTTTAGGTTATCATTCCAATACTTCCCTCCATCCAAAGTTTATGGATTTACTGCTGTTGACTTAGTACCTGATGGTGAACACAAGGTATATTGGAGTTTTATTTATTTATTGTTGGTTATCAGACACTTAAGTGAAGTTTAAAACTGGAAGTTACTATTTCTTTAAAATATTTGAAGATTGTTAAAAGTTTGCATCAAAGGAAAAAAAATCTGAAGTGTCAAGTATTAATTGGCATGAAATCTGCAAGATATAAAATGCAAGACTGACTTTTTATGTCTTCTGACACTGATGACATTGTAGATGAGCAGTCAATTTTAGTGTAGTAGAAAGAATTATATTACTTTTACAACTTTCTTCTGAGAGTACAAAGAATTGGATATTTTTTCCATATGTATCTTAAAATATGATAAAGAATCATAGTTGTAACAATTAACATTACAAAATCATCTGCTACAGTGGGTTAAAATAATATTTTATTCATATAACATTTCAACTGTCTGTGCAATGATGTTTATCCAATGCATGAATTCACAAGCTTGCAGTTGTTTATATTCCCAATAATTAGGATTATTAACTAAGTGGTGCAATATAGTTTAAAAAATTTACAATATATAGGTAAGATTTTGAATAAAAGATGAACTTAGAAAACAAATATAGTAAACAACCAACCTTATTTAATAATTGATGGATTTAGTTCTTTAATTCCAGAAGATTCTATTATTGTAATTACCTTACCATTCTTTCCTCAGTAGATTATTTTAACCATAGAATGCCAGTGTGGATAGTTTCGTATACAGGTTTAAATTGTATGGGGTCATAGTGACCCCATGCTGGAATTCTAGGGTTAATATCTTCTTTGTTGATACTGTGGTTTAAATCTTTACTGTGTTTGCAAATGAGTGACAGTTTTCTTATATTACTGAATTCTTGTATTTAATGAGCTTTGTGAGATATATTTGACAACAACGTGAACATGTAATTGTTATATTGGTTATTGTTGTTGTTATCATAAGATATTTGTACTTTCTGTTGTTGTATTAACAAATTGTTTAATATGACAAGTTTTATTGTTGATTTAATTTACAAGTTTGCTAGATGTGTAGCTATTCTACCTGCAAATGGGATGTTATAGTATAGTTAGTTTATAATTTTTTTTGTTCAGGTGTTTCAGGTTTTTGCATTTTTATTCACATTGTTTTTTAATAATTTCTTTATTATTTATAGGCCACATTATAAGTACTGTGTTCATTTTTGGGCTTGAAAAGGACATTGAAGTGTTGGAAAGGATTCAGAGGAGGGCTAATAAAATTATACCTGAGATAGAAAAGTTGCCATATGAAGATAGTTTAAGATCTCTGAAATTATTATCTCTTGAAAAAAAGTTAGAGGGAATTTGAATGAGATATTTGAGACCGTTAAGACAATTGATAGTGTTGATGCATCAGTTTTTTTTTGTTTTTTTTTTACTTAATGGTGAGAATAATAGAACTAGGGGACATAAGTATAAGTTTTGACAGGGTGGGAGTCAGTTACAGCTCTATTGGTTGGCCTTTGGAATGGGATGACTTTAGGTGTGGTGAATGCAGCCAATTTAAGAGTTTAATGAAAGGCTTGATAAATATTTCAATGATAAGGGCTGGCTTTGTGTGTTGTATTTTTCAGTTTAGTATACTGAATGGGACATCCTAGATGGACCAATAGATCCATTGTTGTCCTTAAATTATATATATATATATGGATGTATATATTATGGTTAATTCTGATTTACTTTTGATATTATTTTTAGGAATTAAGGACTCAAAGAGTTTACTAAAAATAAAGCTGATGAAGAAATCTTTGAATTTTAAGTTTTGTGTGTAAAAATGAAAATGCACACACCTAGAAAGCATGTTTCATGTTTATTTTTTACATGTTATTTTTTTAAATTTATATCAGTTGGAAAGATATAGTTCATAATATACAAGAATTCTGTAATTATTTTCAATATTTTTGTAGTTTACTGAAATAGTGTTAATTTTATGTTTATGTAGTAGTTTTTGAAGTTTTTTCTAACAAAAAAAACACTTAAGATCCAAAAAATGTGTTTCCAGAACTTTTCAGGTATCTAAACCACCTTTTTGTAACGTTTATCACTGTATAATGTTTGTGAATAAGTTAATTTGTATTATCTTGCATGAGTTTGGTATTTTGACACAAGTTTGTATACATAAATAAACTTTGCTATTTCAGGAGGTGACCTTAGAAAACATTGAGGAGTATGTGGAACTCTTAACAGACTTTTGTCTTCATACGGGGATACGCCGTCAAATGGAAGCTTTCAGATGTAAGTTTCAGGTACAGATGGACAATAAACAAAATGGTTCCAATGATCATCATTTATCACAATAATTTAAAACTTGGATGAGTTAGGGGTGGAGGTATTCTGTTATCCAATCAACTGTGCTTTTTCATATTTAAAGTTGCTGTTACTAAATTCTACTTAAGAAACATTAAAGAGGAACTTAGAATTTTATCTTGTTCTTTGGTTGTAACACTTGCTACTTTAAGTGATATTTAAATAGTTAAAAATATCAACAGGTGATATACGAGATTATATAAATGATAATTCATTATTGTTGTATGTGTTACTTCTAAAGATAAGTTCTCATTAACTGACATCACAAAGAAATCACTGCTGAGCTGTAGATGTAATGGTACAAGTTTTTTTCAGATCGAGGGACGTTGATATACATTTCAACTTACACTAAATAGGTAACAGTAATGTTTTTTAATAGCCTAGCAGACCACATTGTAGGTACCATTTTGAACTGTAATACTTCTCCAAATTTCACTAAAATCTAATATTTATTCCAAGTCATTTGCATAACTTTTAGTTTCGTTTGTAACACCTAGTCTTTTTTTTTATGTAAAACAAAAATATTACTGTATATATAACATGATGATACAGTATTGATTTTAATTTTTGTACAAGCAGCTCTCTCTATTGGGTATGGTAACTACAGCTACTGCTTCTACAGATACACATTCTAGAACATCAATTGTGTAATGTTCCATAACTTAGTTGTGAATGTAGTAAATCATTTAGAATTTATACATACAAACATAATTTTATTTATTGTTCATTTTTGCACCACTAAATAGGAACAAGTTATGTGGTGGATATGTTAACATATAAACATAATAATTTTGGCTTAAACATTTCTTAAAATGGAAGATCACAATACATGTTCATTCAGGTTACAAAATGATTTAACTTAATATAGTTAAAGAAGTCATAATCATTGAAGATTATTTTATGTTTTTGTACAGTATGCAAAGAGGAAACATGAGTTTGAAAACTCTTGAATGTACACCGTTAAATGTTGTAATTTAGAATAATTAATTCTTGTTAGATAATATAGGTATGTATGTATTATGTAATATTACACAGTAAACTTGTTGTGAGTTGAGGGCAGTACATTATTTTTAAACAGACTTGTATACAGGTTAGTTCTAAGGTGTAGTCAATGTACATTATGTATCTTTAGAAACTGTATAGTGTTTCACATATTAGTTAACATGAGTATTATACTGTGAATTTTAGCCGGATTCAACAGGGTATTCCCTATGGAAAAACTGGGAGCTTTCACTCCTGAGGAGGTATGTTTAATGCTGTGTGGGGAGCAGAATCCATCATGGACACGCGAAGATATCCTGGCTTACACAGAACCAAAACTCGGTTATACAAGGGAGAGGTATGTAGTGTAGTTAGGCTTTATACATTCAACTAACATCAGAATGGGTAAAAATGTTGTGAAAGTATCTCTTAAAACTGTATATTTATTTGCAAGAATAGTGAGAGTTTTAATATGATGTGATATATCTTCTAATATTCCGTTTTTCCTAACAGTCCTGGTTTTCAGCAACTTGTCAATGTTTTAGTAAATATGTCGGGAGAGGAAAGGAAAGCTTTCCTGCAATTTGCCACGGGGTGTTCCTCCTTGCCTCCTGGTGGTCTTGCAAATCTCCACCCACGACTGACTGTGGTGCGTAAAGTTGATGCCTCTGATGGAAGTTATCCTTCAGTGAACACATGTGCCCACTACTTGAAACTTCCCGACTATTCATCCGAAGAGATAATGCGAGAACGTCTTCTGGCAGCAACTAGAGAAAAGGGTTTTCATCTTAATTGATTATGTATAAACCTATGTATCTTCAGACATTCATAAGTGATAGTTATTACCTGTATGTAAGTCCACACCGTTGACAAAGCTTTTTATTGCTTACTCTAAAAAGAAGCATCTGTTTCATGTTGCAGAAAACTGTATAATTGTGTGTTTATTTAACTGTGCCTAGAATAGCAATGTGTGTGTGTGTAAGAAAATATTTAAACAAGCTCCAACACAATCTTGTTTATTAATTCTGATGTTTGTATGATTAGTTGTAAGACCTAAGCTTAGGTGACCCATAACCAATCAGCTTTCTCTAAAGTGCCTGTGTTATAATTGTGTATATAAATATTGTAGTCTTTTTAAGTTCGTATTTAGAATGCTTAAGTTGAATAACTTGTTTTGAAAATGAAGTTACAATGTAAAAAAAAAAAATTCTTTATTTCCATATCAGATTTAGGCAAAATACATCTTGGAATGTTATCATGTTTTGTACTGATGTCAACGTTTCATTAGAACTTCTAATTAACACCACAAAAGCAATGTGTATTGTAAAAAACAGGCAATAAAAATGAAATACCAAACTTTAAGATCTTTTATATCACTTTCTCTTAAAAAAAATAATTCATTAACAAAATAAGAAGGATAAGTTTTAGTGTCAAAAACCTAGTAAATATCTGTAAGAATAGTTAGTTTAATTTGCTATTAACACTGATACCTTCAGCTTATAATCAGTAAGGTGTTTCTCCAAAAACACCTATCACATGATTCATAACAAAATAAGTTTGGAGTTAAATTTAAAATTCCCATGATTCCAGCCATCTTAATCCATACATGGTACTGTTTGGACTTGAACTGGGTGGTCCTTCCATCCCGTAACTCAAAGGACTGAATAAATAAAAGCTAAAAAGAAAAAAAATTAACTTAAATCATTCTGTAGCACCATTATCTAAAAATTATTGCTAAACAACATTTATGAGAATGTCTATTCTTTACAACTTATAAGACCTAGTACTTTTATATAAATATATGACACTGTATTAAATTACTCTGACACACCATTGTTGTGTAAGTTGACAGTTTACTTCTAGGAGATTTAGCTTATGTATGACTGAAGTGTGCAAAATAGTGTTTACTTTTGTTGGTTGGTTAAGATGAAGTATATACATAAAGATAATAAGCTGCTAGACACAGATTGGAGATTTTAATGTTGAGGGATGTTTATAAGATGATCATGTATTAACATTACTCGTGGCTAGGAAATGTTTTAAAGCAAATATCATGGTAGACATTGAAAATGGTTGTTATAATGTAAGACAGGTTAACAACACAAAGCATTTTTATCAAGAACAAACACTTGTATAGACTTGTATTTGCAAGGAAAGGTAGATTATTATTGTAAATACCTGTATGCTAAGCCAGCTAATATAGTACCGAGCAACCAATGGTAGAAGGAAGTTCCTAGGGTCCATGGTAGTGCATGTGGAATGACACTCAACAAGTAGTCCAATATTACTCCTGTTAAAAATGAAAAATTATATCTCACTCAAACTATACTTCATGTTTACTGAGAAGATGTTAATTATAAGGTCCAAATCAGGAGCCATGATATGCTGCTGTAAAAAATTGCAGCTATAACTGAATATCAAGCCTACTTGTTTAAGAGTATCCATAAGAAGCATGTGCTGCCAAGTTGTTTATTTTCTCTCTGGTCAACAATTCTGAATGGCTAAGCTTCTACATTAATTTTTTGTGTTAATTAGGTTGAAAATAACCAGCAGTGCTGTAAGTTAGTACTTTGACACTTCACATTGGGTTATTGATCTGAAAAAAGTTAATAGTAGTCTTGGCAATGTACTTTTGTTTTAGATACTCCATGGAATATTTAAATAAAGATACAGAATCAAATGAGCATATTACTCAGTCAGAGAGGCTTGGACATATTAACTTTTTTCAAAGAAACTTAACTTGCTAAAAATATAAGTATCTGACACAAGGTCCATCATTCCTTCCTTATATGTAGACTGAAAGAAGTTAAGTAAAGATCATTCCTGGTCAATATAAATGCAACACAGCATTTTCTTTCAATGTACCCTAGATGTGAAATAATACAATGCATAGTTGTTTTTGATCATAGTGAAATATTTATTACTCAGTATTGTTTATTAATTTTATGTTCATAAATTTAAACAATAATTATTGTACAAGGTAACAATAATAAAGATTTTCGCTTTCCATCTGTTTTCCTTGTGACTTTACAAACAAGATTTCTTTCAAACACAGTAATTTTTTATGTAATGCTAAAAATTGATATATTGAATTTATAAGTTGCATGATAATTACATCCTGTCAGTATTGTTTTAGTCTCACATTTAATACTCTGCATAATTTAATTTTACATTTTCTCCTTTTATCATCTTATAAATTTCAGTCAAAAGTGATAATGAAATTATTGTACAGGCATTGGCAATGATGGTGTGGACAAAAAAAAACAAATTACATATAAATGAAATATTTTTCAAAGATTTTGGACTTGAAAAAAATTGGGTTCATGTAAATAAAATTTACACTTAACTTTTCTAAATGGAGAGTTTATTGATTTTGGTGTATCTATGTCCTTTCCAGCTGCAATCCTAGGATATAATTTTTGAACTTTTCTGATTTACTTAAGAGATTCAGTTACACAGATTAATCTCATTGGCAACACTATTGAAGTTTCATTTTAAAACTTCATAATCCAGAAAAGAGAAATTTGTTATCCATACAGAGTTACAAAGTTGTTGCACCTCCAACATTATCATATTCAAGATATAATATTTCTCCTTGGTATAAATAATTTATTTGTACATCCAGTAAAAGATATGTGTATAGCCCTCATTACCTTGAGACTGTTCTAAGAATTTATGAGTGAAAGTAAAGAAAGATATAATATGCTACATTCAGTGTCAATAATGCCAGTTAGGATAGGCCCTATTTACATTCTCAACTTTCATGAACTGGATTAAGTTAGTGAATTGTAATTTTTATCAATTTTATGGTAACAATTAATAATACAATATTATTTATTTAATTAACTTGACTATCATTCAGAAGAACTGGCAAACCAGCAAGTTAGTTTTTTATATGTACACAAAGAATTATTATCATCAGTAAAAGTTATGTCTTTGTTTACAAAATGCATCCAATGCATTTATAAGGTAGTTTATGTCGTTACACCAGAAAATCAAGGTTAAGTAACTTTAATTAATTTGAATAATGTGATACCTGTTTTAAAAATAGCATTACTGACTTGTTCACTATCAGTTCACTGCTATATAACATAGTTTATTTTAAATACCTATTTCATCTCAGTTAGTATATTTGACATGCTGCACATTTGATGCATTTACAGTATACAGTGTCTATAACTGGGAGTTACTCTTGTTAATTTGGATTTTTTTTCACTTGCTTTCAAATAACTGCTTGTGTGGATTGTTACATGACAGTGTCAGGGGAAAATGAACAGGCTTTCTTTTTAAGTTGATATGGTAATGCTGATATAAACTACAGTAAAAAATTTTTTTCCCTCTAAAGTGTTTCAGAATAATAAAAACAGTAGAATTATTTATACATCACAGTTTGGCTGTGTTTTTAGAAGAAAACCTAAACATTCTGGATGCTTGAATCACAAGCATGAGTATAAACTAAAGTTCAGTATTTTACAGAACAGAAGTGTTATGGAGAACAGTGAAGAATGAATGAGACATATCAATAGCACAAGCAAACCATATGTTCTGCAGAACTGGAAATGCACATTATTTTAAGCTGATAACAATTATAAGAACCTACCAGAAAGCATAGAACTGAAAAGTAAGGCTGGAAAATAATGATGAAAATACAATATTCTGCCCATTCCATAAAATGGAAAGTAGTGTAATGACCATGCAAGAAACAGCCACATACTGGCATGGCTCATGGAGGAGTTGATGCCTAAAGATTGAAAAAAAAAACACATATACAATCATTAACTTCATATATATATATTTGAAGACTTTAAATTATTATATTCCATGTTGCTCTACAAGAAGTCCTATTTTGAAAGAATAAACACATAAGTTATTCTCTTATTGCAGGTGGGAAAAAAATTATTATTGGATGTAGCATCATCACTGGCAAAAACATCTTTTACAGATAACCTAGTTTAAATGTAGACTGATGAATGTTTCTAATATTGGGCAAAATACTTCAATAGGTGTATAAACTTATCACAGTGAAAATCTTTACAGTAGTAACGTGTGAGAACTATAAATTGCCTCAGTTTCACTCTGAAAGTAACCCTGTTTAGTCACCTTCTTCATTACACATTGGACCAATTAAAACATATATATAGGTAAAAAAAAAAAAGTAGAGAAAATTGGTCAAAAATACAATAATGGTACATTCGTTCTTAAAAATGGGAACACAGATTTGTGCAATCAGTTTCCTGTATCGTTATAAGCAGGCACACTATCGTAAGTTCCATAAACTTTTATTTAGGTTATACAGAATAAAACAGATAGAGCATTTTCTTTTACTGTATATATTGTGCAAAAATAATACTTATTTTTTACACAATAAATAATTCTAGGAGCAACTTTAAGTAGTCATGCAAACATCTTGGGTGTACAATATTCAATGTATAAAAACAAAAAAAAAGTGATTATCATAAAATATATATCTCAAATTTGTTAATGTTACCTTCAACTTTTGGAGATCCTAGATACCCTCGCTGATGCCGCAATGCTATAATACCTTGAACCAAAAGATAGACACCCATCAGCACCAAGTTTCCCCACCAAATAATGGGGTTGCCCAACAAGTAGATACGATACTGATGTCCAGAGAAAAACTGACCCTAAATTAAGAAGTATTTTAATATCATGGTTGTTTTACAAAACTATTTCAAAAGCATAACATTTATAAGATATGTGGTGTTTTAAGCAACAACAACATACATATTTTAAATTATTTCAGGTTAACAATTTATGAAGAAAACATTGATATAAAACAAATTATTTTTTGCCAGAAAAATTGGTGGTTTATTACTGCTTATTTTAATGTGGTTAGTCCCTTCATTTGAACATTACACAACAAGATTTTTTTTTTTTTCATTATAAAACATTTCTTTCAAATAGATAAGTAAATTATATCATGATTCACAGAAACTTTATCAAGCATGTTAAATAAATGAATGTTACATACTAAAAAATATTTTTAATATAAAGTGTAAAATCTTGTTTAATTTAAATTTTTTTCTACTCTTAACCCACAGAAAAATAAATACAATGTGCATAAGAAAACCCGAACAAACACAAAAAACCAGGAAGTGATGAATGATTTGTGTTACTTATGTTTAAAGTGGATAAATCTGTGATAAATTTTTTTTATGCTATATAATTTTCAGAAAAGATATATCTGAAATATATAAACTTCTATAAAAAAAAGCATATTCAAAGGATTCTTCATCACTTAAAGTGATCCAAGAGAGAATGAATAAACACAGCTATAAACTTGACAAAGTACCATAAAATGAAAAAAAATACATACAATAGAGAACAAAGCTATAAAGTTGGACTACATTACATTATGTAAACATTTCTAAATTTTTACCAATTCTATATTAAAAACAAAAGTCTCACATGTTTTAATTTTTTATTTATTTTACTTTTACACTTGTGTTTTAAGTACATGTATTAGCCAGTTTAAAATGAAACTACATTGCTGCAAATTTTTTTTATCTCTCATGATCATTCTAACACTGACTTCAAACAAAAATAAACTAATTACAGATGTGAAAAATTTAAAATACAATATTTCTAAGTCACACATTGTGTACACCTACCCTGAAGTTGATAGGCCACTGCCATGGTCTTGATGTTACTTCTCCTTCTTTTGGTTTTAAACCAGAATTACCCTGTTGAAAGAGGTGTGAAGATCACTGTCTTTAAGAGAAATATAAGAAACTTTTTCTTCTTATTATTTAAAAACACATTTTCAAACAAACATATTTGCTATATATATTTCTATTAAACCATTTAATTTATAATATATGAGAAATTTGCAATAAATTGCAAAATAAAAATAAATTCAAAATCTAATTTCATGAGGCTAAAAAAAATAGTTCCCCAACCACAAAACTTTCAATTTTTATAGATGTATTTTATTATCAAGCATTTTATGCCTGTTTTCATTACAATAAAACATAACCTTTTAAAACTTAAGTTGTAGAGGATATCTATTAACCCTTTCAGGATTAGAGGGGTTTCGCTGATATCCCCTGATTTTTCCTTTTTGCAATGGAAATACTTATCTAAACTGTATGAAACTTAACACAAAATTACTATTAAAAGAGTATTTAGTTTCTATTTAAAACAACAGAATATAATTTGATTTAGTAGTTCTGTAATTTTTAGGTCTGATTTGATTGTTGTTAAGCACAAAGCTATACAATGGGCTATCTGTGTTTTGCCCACAGGGGTATCAAAACCCAATTTTTAGACACTGTAAAGACAATATTATTAACTTGTTAAAGCATACACTGATATTAAAGAATTTGTTAATTTTTACAGTTTGGCCTGCAGAGGATCACTATATTTACTGGCATTAAAAGTAGACCAATACTAAACCAATTAATTAAAATTGTATTCAAGACTTAATCTCAAAAGTACAAATTAGAAAGAAAATATACTAGTTTACTGAAAAATTCTTTCTTATCAAAAGATGAAAGATTTTTACTAACAAGCAAAGGAAATTTATCAAAATTCTTGTTTGAATTGTAAATGAATTTTTTTATTTTTCTTTGACTCAAATTACAAGTTGCATTTTATTGATCTACAAGTATACCAATATGAGGAAAGATGTAATTCAGTTTGTAAATGCCTATGGAACTTTAATATATGAAAATGTATGATTAGACCCATATATATACCAGAATGTGACAGTCCTCACCCAGTTATCATAATTGTGTTATTTATATGTTCACAATCTCTCTCTCTCCCCCCCCCCCCCAAATGCTCAGTGATAAGTTGGCAGGCTTACAACTACAGACAAATATATTTTCATCAAACACTGTTGAAGAAAAAGCCATTAGTTAAAAATACTAAATTAATGTTTTATGTTTAATAAAAAGACTTCCAATTTACAGATTTTCTCTTTCCTTACAAGACTTCAGATTGTTCAACCAGTTAGAAACACATACTATAGATACTGACAAGCCAAAACATAAAACTTCAAATTCTAACTGCTTTACTTAGATATCACTATATTTATTCTACCCACACTCCTATGTCTTTTATGTCCATAATTCTCTCTGACATTGCTATTGGACATGTTTATAACCAAAAGAAAGAGCATATTCTAAAATATGTAAATCAGGTGATTGTTTTTTTTAGCAGTCAAAATCAACAGTTCATGGTGAGGGCTTGATTTGTTTAGGCTAAAAATGTTTCAAATGGACATTTTTTTTAAAATGAAAATCTACATGTAAACATAAAAAATGAAAATTTGAGTATCAGTGAAGAAATGCTTTCTGACAGAACAATGGAATGGAAGTGCATCCGATAAAGCAGCTCAAATAAGTCCTGGTACTAGTACTGCCTTAAAAAAATAACTTCAGGTACTCAGTACCAGTGAGTTCTGGCAGAATTTCATATATTGTAAGCTATCTTTAAATGTTTCTATTTAGATATTAGCTTGAGGGTACATGAGATTAAGGCCTGGAATGTTATAGATGATGTCACAAAAATCTAGTAACTTCAACAAATATCTCAGAAGTGAGACTTCAGATATAAATACAAGTGGGCCAGTCAATTAATAAGCTTGCAGTGAATCAATGAAGCACCGAATCGTTTTTTTCTCAGTGCCAATCATTCAGTGAAGTATCTAGTTTTAACAAAATATACTTTTTTTTTATCAAGTTTAGTCGTTGCATATATTCAGTTATTTGATTAGCCATGAAATTGTATAAGTTTAATGTTAGTTGCAGTACCATTAGCAAAGTATTTCCATTTGAGTGTAATTTGTAAGTTTAGGCCTACAAGTTACAAGTGAAGGCAGCTCGTAGAAACTTTTAGGAACAAATAAACTAATTTGTTATCATTACTTGGACTGGATTCCCCATATTTTCACCAAATAATTTAAAAGAATCTATCCAAAGAAAGAACAATGTTACAACAATATGAAAATTCTATTCCAGTGTCTGATATATTTTTTTGTTCTAAAATGCATATTTGAAAACTATACAAGTTATTTTATGGACAACTAACAAAGTCTTACCAAAGTACACTCTTGAGTACAAGTATGTCTATTAGCTAAGGTACATAGTAAAATTCTTATTTTTTACATATATTTTTTATTTATTGTTATATATTTTGAACAAATGCAACTAAAATGTAAAAATTTAACCCATATTAGGTTAGATAAGACAAGCTAAAAGAAAAAAATTAAAACAATTCTTGTGATCAATTCTTGATGAACACATGCAACATATGTGGTTTCACATTGTGTGATACAACCTGATACTTTGTTTACCTTAAGTTCTTGCTGGGTGATTTACTGCTTTGTTACATTAGTCAGACACAGTTTAAAGAACAATAAAATTAAATGAAAGCACACTGGTGAATTCACTAAAGTTAGTGTTAGGGTAGTGAAAATAAAAGATACGATATACAGTTTTACCAAAAAAAATAACTTTTGATATTCATTTTGGGGGTACTGTATGGTGAAAAGAATTATTTTTTATACTTAGCATTCAGACTAATTCAGTAAGGCTTCAAGAATTCAGACAAATCTTTAGTAAAAATGCTTTATTGAAAAAGATGATTTTTTGGGTACAACAGGCTTGTAACGTATACTAAAAGCTTGCCAAATTTCATGAAGAAATACTAAGTACATTCAGAGTTAAAGAATGTATAGTTTTATATGTTGGTAATACGGTTGATTAAAATGACCAAGCCCGTATACAAAGAGATAATTGAGAAAGTAAGACAAACTCTTCACCCTATCTTAGTATTAAAAGTATGCTGTCCATCTTCTTAGAAGTTGATTAGAACCACAATACCAAATATCTATAGTTATTTTATATAACAAATATAGTGAATGGCTATCTAACAACATAGATAAAGATGTCTCGTTTTTTTCATGTCTCATTTTGAAATGCAACTATGTCCTAATTATTCCTGAATAATATTCTTTTACCAACGTAAAAAAGTTTCCAAGAAAAATTTAGAAAAATACTAATGTCACCAATCACAAACCTGAAACATCACAGCATGGGATTCAAAAAATCTTTCAAGAAAGCTCGGGGCATATACTTCAAAACTAACATTGGGTACTGAAATGAAAGACAAAGTCAATAATATTCCTGAAATAAAAAAATGTTCAATAAATTTCAAATGAGTTATCAGTGTGAAAATAAACAACTTTTTTTGATGGAAAAAGTGAAATAATTCAAAAGCATTTTTCACACCATTTCAGCAAAGATATTATTTAACTCCTTAAGCCCGAGTGGACACTGCCAGCATCTGGTAAAATTTATGTCTCTTTGGCTGAAAACTAATCCATGTTATTAACTATAAAATTAAGAAAACTGAAATTTTATAAGGTATGGTGATAATTATTAGGAAATCATGAAAATAATTATGGCAGAAAGTGCAAAAAATTACAGGTATAAAGAGATAATTTCATTTACCATGGTAATAACTGTAACTATGAGAGAGAAGAATTTAAGCAAATATAAAAAAACCTAAAATCAAACATGTTAATCACTGAGATAACCTGATACTAATAATAAACTCCATTCTCTGTAGTTTAATACAACCTTGTATTTAAAAATAAACTTGAAATTAATTAATTAATGGTGTATATTTAAACAGAGCAAAGAAATTTCATTAATAGATAGAACATTGTTTTTTCAGACTTAAAAATACTTACATAGTGGGAAAATGTTATCTTCAACATTCCAAATATTGTTTTTGTCCCTAACATTTGGATTACAGGTTACTTCCATTTGTTCAAAGCCCCTGTTTATGGAAATAACATTTTTACAGTTATACATATAAATCTACATTGTACTAGAAGTTAAACAGAATTAAAATAATACTCACCTCCAGATGGACAACAAGCTAAAGATTTCGATGTGCTATTGCTCTAACCCTTTCTCTTGCCACTTCATGTCAATTCATAATGAAACTCTTGTTCTTGAACTCTCAAGAGGTTTAAAATATTCATGTATATCAGTAATGAATGCCCCAAGTACTTCTCATGTCAATCATGTACAGAAGGACAACTGCCAATGTATGATGCATCAACACTACTTACCAAAGGTAAGAATGGAAAAAGAATGAATTCTACTAGAGTTGGGTAATATTTGAATTTAACTTCAATCAAATGTCTAAATATCAAACATTTTGCTACTTTGATAGATTGTTTAAGCAGAGTATTCATGATGAAATTTGGTTGAATGAACAGCTACTGCCTGTTATGGAAAGTCTTCTGCCTTTTGTCTTCAGGTCCTAAAGATAAAAGGCAGAAGACTTTCGAAACGTCGTCCTCTATTCTTGTGTTTCTATAACAGGCAGTTGCCATCCATTCAATGAAATTTCATTTTGCTACTTAACCACTAGAGGGAGGTAGAATCTCAATGTTTTAAAGACTAATGATTACAACTGAAAAACTGAAACCTAATAATCACATTTAACATAAATAGTATACAGGACTTGATTCGTAATGATCAGATTGTATTAAATCAACGATACATTAACTTTGTTATTACCAATATTTCTGTCTGTAATAGAAGTAATACCTAAACCAGTTTAGAAGATTTCTTCTGCTAAAATCCATACATTATGCTAAGAAAAAAACAGTAAACTTTTTAATTACATAGAATTCATAAAATAATCCCAAAAACTGAAATGTTAAACAATTTTACTCAATATCATTTACCCAAATTAACAATAATGTAAATTGTATCTTACAAATACACTGTTATCTATTACTACACGTCTGAGTAATAGATAATTGATATATTGGTAAGATACATTTTCATGTTTACATCATTGATCTTTAAGAAGGAACAGTAATGCTTCACTGTACTTGCATCAGTGCACATAAAACTAACAAATAATACACAAACTGAATAAAAACGTAATAATAAAAGAAAGTTTGCTTCCAACGTTCTGAGAACCCTGGACACATCCAACACTGCTAAATTAGGGACATCTAGTGCAGATAGCCCTTGTGTAGCTTTCAAAACAAACAAAACCAAAGCTCTGTAAAAATGAATAGATTGATTGATATATATGTTGAAATGAAACCATTGTATATTGTTTTCGCGAAATCAAGTTTGACATTCACAAATTTATCCTAAAAAAACTAAGTACTGAAAAATATACTATGATCATTTAACCCTTTCACTATGGGTAGGTCAAAATGCACATCACGACCTGTTAAAGAGTTGCATTCAAAGTGTAATTAATGAGAAAAGAAGATATGTATCCTACTACTCTGAAAGTTGATTGGAAATATATATTTGTTTGGTTTTCACAAATGCATTCCCATTGATGGAACTTGCTTTACCACAGTTCACAGTATCATGTCTCAGCATTGTCTCTACAGGGTATCTCATGTGGTGCATACAATTTTCTCTATGCTTTGGACATGAGATGCCATCAACTTGCACATGTTTAGAGAAATTGGTTCTTCATCAATGAGTATTTATAAACACACTGCATATTTTTCTAAATAGTGAAACCCTGTGGTTTATGGTTGTTGAATCTGACATTGTTTCTGGGCATGCTCCTTGTGGTATACACACTTTACGTATACTGAGGGTTTCCCAACCTACTTAGGTTCTTTAAGACACCATGTGGTACTGGGACATCCTTTATAGCCTTAGTTCTAGTAGAACAGTCTTTAATGCTCACAACCAGATGTTCCGTATTATATTTTATCAGCAGAACATTTGTACAGACCAAGGCGGCTAGTCATCACCACCCACTGCCAACTCTTGGGCTACTCTTTTACCAACAAATAGTGGGATTGACAGTCACATTATAATGCCCCACAGCTGAAAGAACGAGCATATTTGGTGTGACAGGGATTCGAACCCGCGACCCTTAGATTGCGAGTCGAGCACCCTAACCACCTGGCCATGCCGGGCCTTCTTTACAGTGATTTAAATGGTTAAATGGACTTTTCACAGCAAAGACATATTAGCTATAGGCTAAAATTTTGCTCAAATGGTTACATTACTACAGCATTAACTTGAATGTCAGTAGCAAAGACAAATTCTTACTTTACTGAAACAAACAATGCAAAATGTAATATCATAATAAAATATTCAAGAATATGACTTGGAAATGTACCTACACAATTATAACAATATTTATGTACACTGAATATCTATCTATATGACTGTTGGGGTTTGAAACTCATTTTTTTCACCATTGGCAAATGTTTTTCAGTAAGGTCAAATAAAAAACAAATATACATGTTTAGTGTCCCCACCCACTTCCTTTTTTGCAACCACCTCCACCCCCACTTTTTTTTTGCCAATTTTTTTTCGATCATACAAAGAAGAAGATTTATTTATTTATTCATTTAGCCCTTTTTCTTGTCATAAATTCTGTATCATTTTGATGGAAAAAATGAAACAAAGAAGATTTCAGTTTGACATGAACACTTTAAAAACAAGCAACTATCCTGAAAAAAAAGGGGGGTGCAAACTTTCTTTCAAAGACTTCATTTAAAAAGAAAAAGGACCTCCTCCTTCCTTTTTCAAAATTTCTAGTTGCTTAACTTTTTTTTTACTTGATATAATTTGAAAAGTTACTCACAAAAGAGTCGAAAAAAAAAGTGCCACATTTTTGATTATGTATTTTGTTTATATACTATCAAATGTTAGATTTTTTGTTTGTGATCAAAATAACATTGCAAAAGATAAGAAAATGAAAAAGCA